TAATAGTAATAATAATTTAAAAATGATAATAATATGATAAAATAATAACAATAATAATAATGATGATAATAATAATTAATATAATAATAATAAAAAATAGTAATAATAATAATAATAATAATAATAATAATAATAATAATAATAATAATAAATAATAAATGATTAATTAACAACAATAATATGGATAATGATAATACAACAATGATATAACAACCAACGAATAATGATGCTAATAATGATAATGAATAATATAATAATATTAATGATATTGCTAATAAAAATGGATAATAATAATAGTGAAAGCAATGATAATAATTCATAACCAAATGATAGTTAAAAATAATGATGAATGATAAGTAATGCATGAAAATTAATGATTAATAACAACAACTTTCACAACAGCAACGATAATATTATAAGTATAAATAAGAATAATGACATAATAATAATAACCATAAAACAAAATGGAATAATAATAGTAATAATGATAATGAAAATAATGATAATAATAATTGATTATTATAATAATTAATAAACAATTATGAATAATAATGATAATCTATTATTCATTAGCACTATTAATAAAATGATGATTTAATAATAATAGCAATAATAGTGATAATGATTAATAATGGCAATAATAATTGATGATAATTTGATAATAAATAATAATAATGATGATAATATTTAACAACAATAATTACATAATATAATAATAACTAATAATGATTAATGATTAATAAATAATAAATGGTAATGATAAGGATGATAAGGGCGTGAACATAATGATTAATGATAATGACAATAACAATATAATGATAATGATAATTTTAATAGTTGACATAACAATATTGGATTATATTGCGGTAAAGATTAATGGTAGTACTACTCCTGACGATAATGATTATAATAACAATGGTAATAATGATGATGATAATAATTATTACGATAATTATGATATTATGATGATATAAATGATAATAACACTAGTAAAAATATCAATCATAATAATAATGTCAATGATAAGGACAATGATAGTAATGAGGATAATAATAATGTTAATAATGATGATATAACGACGATAGTAATGAATGAATGATATGATAGTAGTGATAATAGTGATAAGATAATCTATTAGAGTCAGATACGTTTAACCACTACACTACAAGGATGTTACTAATAATGATAATGATGAAAAATGAGATAGGATAATAATGATAATATAAATACAATTGATAACAATAATGATGATGATGATTATGATGATAATAACAATGAAGATAATGATAACAAAGTAAAAAATAGTAACAGAAATAATAATAACAATAAAGATGACAATAATGATAATGATGATAATAAAAATGATAATGGTAATGATAACAATAACCATTATGTAATAATGATAAAATAATAATGATAATTGATAATAATGATAATGATAAATGAAAAAATAATAATAGTATTAATAATCATATAATTAAATAACAATAATAATAATAATAATAATAATAATAATAATGATAATAATAATAATGAATAATATAATGAAAAATAAATAAAATAATAAGAAGAAGAAGAATATATAATAATAATGATATAATGATAATAATAATAATAATAATAATAATAATAATAAAATAATAATAATTAATAATTTAAAAATAATAATAATAATAATAATAATAATGATAATGATAATGTAATGATAATGAAAATAATAATAATAATAATGATAATGATAATAATAATAATAAAATAATATAATATTAATATAAATAATAATAATAATAAAATAATAATAATAATAAATAATAATAACCCAAAAAATTAACAATGAAAAAATGAATTATTATTATCATTATTATTTTTATTATCATTTTATCATTATTATTATTATCATAAATATGATGATAATATATATAATAATGATATATTAATAACAATAATATAATAATAATAATAATAATAATAATAATAATAATAATATGATAATAATAATAATAATAATAATAATAATAATAATAATAATAATAATAATAATAATAATAATAACAATGAAAATAGTAATGATAACAATAATAATAATGATAACTATAATGACAATAATGGATCAGAAAGAGCAACTAACTAGTATGAAAAAAAAAAAAAAAAAAAAAAAAAAAAAACAGGAGTAACAGAAAATGGAGAGTTTGAGATCCTGCAGGACTAGATAAAGTGCCAGATATTCCTTTGTGAACAGACTGAGAAGGAATTAAGTCCAGATTCCTGTTCACGTGAGTCCAGGAAAAGGAATTTGAAAAGTCCGGCGCGCATACGTCAGTAAATCTGTCTCAATGAATGCAGCTAAATAATGGCAGTAATGATAATGATGATAACAGTGATAAGGATAATGATGATAGTAATGATGATAATGTTGATAGTAATAGTAATAATAATGATAGTAATAGTAAGAATAACAGTAGAGATGATGATAACAATACTAATAGGAAAAATAAAGATA